AAACATTTTGATTAGCTCCAATTGCACTTTAATACGAAGGTATCGTTAGAGCTACAACCTTTCACAAGTACTTCCTCATCTTTGGCCAATCAGAAAATTTACCCACTATCCACGCAATGCATTCTGGGGTCGTCGCCATAAAAAGAACCATAAAAGAAACCATTGGAACCATAATTAAACCAGATAGAATCAACACGTTGTATAATATTTTCATGATTAGAGCAGGATACTTCATTTTCTGATTGGTCGCGTGATTTTAAACGCTGAAAAACACGTCCGTAAGCAAAGCGTTGGATTCTTATTTTTCCGACGTGAATTCCTCGAAAATCTACCTATTCAATATCACTGAACCTTTGAAAATTCCAAATTTAGGGCACCAAAATATCAATAAAATCAACAGAACCTCAAAAAGTCGACCAAAATTCAAGGCAAACTAGTCTGACAATTTTGTCATCTCCCATTTAAATACACGTGATTTTGAACGATCAGGTGGCCGCGGAGCTGCAGATAGTCTATTTTCGGTCGTGCGATTTCCCCCCCACTTTCATGTATAATTAATTAAGTACCTACTGAGCTCCTCATTTTTTTGAAATTCAATTTTCCTTTTCTACTCCCGGTGCTTTATTTCAACTCCTAGTTCGTCAGTGGAATTTCTCCTCTCATCTAGTCTGCCGTGCTCAGGAAGAACGCCGAATGAACCTTCGGGCGTTGCCAAATTTCCTTCGTTAAAACACGAAGTTTCGGGTAAACTTCTGAATATTTTCCTTCCAGCTTTTCAGATAATTTTGTTCGCAATTTCACCTAAAGTTCCTGAAAATTTCAAGGGAAAACATACATATCTTTATTATAAAATAAACATTTTATCGAAGGAAATTTGGCAACTCTCGAAGGTTCATACGGCGTTATTCCGTAGCACGGCAGTACTGCCGTGCTTAGGAAGAACGCCGTATGAACATCCGGGAGTTGCCAAATTTCCTTCAATTAAATGTTTATTTCAGAGGAGAGATATGAATATTTTTCCTTAAAAATTTTAGGGACTGCAGGTGAAATTACGACCAAAAGTATCTGAAAAAATGGAAGGAGAATATTCATAAGTTTACCAGGAAATTCGTGTTTTATCAAAGGGGATTTGGCAACGCCTGAAGGTTCATACGGCGTTCTTGCTGAGCACGGCAGAGTAGTGAAGTACCGAGCGTGCAAGGAAACGGACTTGACGTAAATCTGCTCCGTGCTCTTCAAACGGACAGGACACATTTCCATACCACTCTTACCGAAGTGAATTTAAATCCTCTCCAATGATGAACGTTTATGATAATTCGAGCGCGCGCATTATCATACCCGCACATCGGTGCAATTTACATTCGGGCGCAAAGATTAAATTCATCCTCCGGATAAGTCGCAAGCAGACGAGGCATACAGTATGCCGCATACGTACCTACACCTACCTAAGCGCTTGATCTCTAAACCTGGGTTTGTCCATCGCAAGTTCACCACGCTCCTTCTAGAGTTCAGGCATGACCATCACGGAAACTCGAATTCCATTTAGATCCCCGCGGACCCAACTTCTGACTCGGTTTTTCAATTTAAAATCAGTCGCCTATTTTCATTTCGAATGATTTGCGGACTTCAGTCTTGTCAAGTATCTCAGTGAGCGTAGCAGATATCAGGTCTATAACGACATGACCACTTAGTCCAGATAGCCGAAGGATGTGAACATCCTACCTCAGCCTCTTGATGATCGTTTAGTTTTTACTCACCGAAATCGGTCCATCTATGTGATTTCTCTGAATAATACCGTGGATAAATTCTAAAAACTTGCATCGTTTTTCCGTGGTAGATCGTGCACTTACTTACCCGCGTTCCGCCAAGGTGGTGTCTTGCTAAACTGTCGCGTCGGGTTTTGTTCTCGTGAATTACCCGCAACTGTGAATATACGCGAGTGGATGTCAGTTAACATTTCCATTTTTCTACATGGTTTTTACTCAGCAAAATTGGTTCATCTATGTGATTTCTTTGAATAATACCGCGGATAAAATCTAAAAAATCGCATCGTTTTTCCGCGGTAGCCCGTGCACTTACCCGAGTTTCGCGGAGGTAGTGTCTCGCTAAACTGTCGTGTCGGGTTTTGTTCTCATGCGAATGGTCAGCAACTGTGAATATACGCGAGTGAATGTCAGTTAACATTTCCGTGTTTCTACTTAGTTTTTACTCAGAAAAATCGGTCCATCTATGTGATTTCTTTGAATAATACCGCGGATAAAATCTAAAAACTTGCATCGTTTTTCCGCGGTAGTCCGTACATTACCCAAGTTCCGGCAAGGCAGTGTCTCGCTAAACTGTAGTTTCGGGTTTTGGTCTCGTGAATGGCCAGCAACTGTGAATATACGCGAGTAGACGTCAGTCAACATTTCAATTTTTCTACTCCGTATTTTCTCAGCAAAATCAGCTCATCTATGTGATTTCTCTGAATAATATCGCGGATAAAATCTAAAAAATTGCATCGTTTTTCCGCAGTAGTTCGTACGCGTGCACTTACTTACCCGCGTTCCGCCAAGGTAGTGTCTCGCAAAACTGTCGTTTCGGGTTTTGTTCTCGTGAATGACCAGCAACTGTGAATATACGCGAGTAGACGTCAGTTAACATTTTAATTTCTCTACTCAGTGTTTGCTCAGCAAAATCAGTTCATCTATGTGATTTCTCTGAATAATACCGCGGATAAAATCTAAAAAATTGCATCGTTTTTCCGCGGTAGCCCGTGCACTTACTCAAGTTCCGGCAAGGTAGTGTCTCGCTAAACTGTCGTTTCGGATTTTGTTCTCGTGAATGACCAGCAACTGTGAATATACGCGAGTTGACGTCAGTTAACATTTCAATTTTTCCACTCGGTGTTTGTTCAGTAAAATCGGTTCATCTATGTGATTTCTCTGAATAATACCGCGGATAAAATCTTAAAAAAGCATCGTTTTTCCGCGGTTGCCCGTGCATTTATCCGAGTTTCGCGAAGGTTGTGTCTCGCAATTAACTGTTGTGTCGGGTTTTGTTCTCGTGAATGGCCCGCAACTGTGAATATACGCGAGCGAACGTCAGTTAACATTTCAATTTTCCTCCTGTTAAAATACATTTTTCGTCGCCGGAATGGTCGTTTGATGCTTTCTGCAAGACGGTGGTGTTGAAAATGCCGGTCACTAGTCAAGTTGTCTTGCGCGCTCGAGAACTTTACGACCCCCACGTGCGAAACCGGGGTTGGCACGATGGATCAACCCCCAAAAGAGCAAGAACTCAAATTCGCGGTTCATCCGTTCGTGAAAATTCGTGGGTCAAATATTATCAACGCTTTAACAAGGTAAGATAATTTGCGCCAGTTCATCTTGCCGCCGTCATCGGTTGACGCGCATCTCGGCGGTAATACTGCACCCCGTTAAAAATCGAAGCGTGAAATACTGCCGTGCCAAGAAAGAACGGTCGTTGAAATATTAATCGCAAGATCACTGATTATTGTTTCCCGCCAACCGCCATCTTAAAATGTTAGTTTCGCGCGCTCTAAACTGGACTGCACGCGCATGCGCAGTTTGCCCAGAGCCCGGTTGCCTTTGGCGCGCGAATATTAAAAAAAACTAACAAGTGCAGCGGGCGTGCGTTTATGCAGACACCTGTCCCCTCTTTCTTCTACTCCTTCCGGGGTTTTTCACCTTCGATATCGAAGTATAGAGTAAGGTCAATGTCCTCAACGGGAGAGGTTGCCTCTCGCGAAAACATGATTTTCTTACAACGACGATTCGAGTGGCGAAGCGTGAGTGACCGATTATCGATACTACCCCACTTGAAGCTATGGTAAAGAATCGATCATTAAGGCGTTCGTTGCAAACACCCTGTCTATCGATCCTTTTCCATAGATTTAAATGGCAGATAAATCGATATATCGCAAAGCACGCCACGCCCCTGGATGATTCCCGTTCCCGCTCTTTGGAGGGATTGATTGTCATCATCAATTGACCATGCTACTTTTTTCTCATCAAGAAGATCATCGATTGCGGAAATATTTTTCTTGTTGGATTTTCGAATTCGTAAATTGATCTCAACGGAGGGCTAATGTCAAATTATATTTGTTCAACTTAAGTTAGGACGAACATCACTTTTTCCTTTGATTTTCTTCAATTAAGTAGGTACACTTCAACACTATGTATTATTACTCTGATAATTTTTTACCAGAGAAGTATATTTTTATTTCCTCTATTGGGTTAAACATGCATCTAAAACCAGAGGATTTTTATCCAAAATGTGAGCTAAGTAATGGAAGAAAGGAAATTAAAATCAGAAACATGACCTCTGTTTTCTTAAGTAAGTTCTTGCTTTGCCACAAACCAAGTATTCACCTGCAAAGTTCATTCATATTTCTAGCTCAAAATGTTGAATTCTTGGGGAAAATTAATATTTTTGGCACATCATAGATGAACTTTCAATCTTGGCTGCATCTGGCTTTAACACAACTGTCTATTTTTTTGTTTTGTTTTGCCTTGCTGTCGCCTTGTTTCATTAATTGCACGCCCAAGTAATCTTATTATTGACGGTTGCAACCGCACAAACACATCAGTATTGCAAAATTAAGGATGTAGAACCATCAATTTTATGAATCTGAGCCATTTTATGTGCAGCAGTGATTTGTTTGTGCACTTCAGCCATCAATATATTGATTTTGCCGGCCACAGTGTTCTTTTTTCCTCTTGTTTACGTATCTAATGATGCATTTGCTCTTATATTTCTAACCTGTTTTGTTAGTATTTGCCCCAGTTCGGGTACCTCAAATAGTTGCAGCTTGAATTTGTCTTTAGGTATTTCCTTGTTGTTTCCTCCTTCTTTTCACAGAAGCCATGTCTATCGATCATCATCATACTCTTATTTTAATTTATTTCCCCTTTTTATTTTATTTTATTTTGTTAAGCTGATCCTCTTTTTTAGTTCTAATTGTTTTTATTTATTTGGTATGAATGCCATCATAACAGGTGACTGATGAAGTGACCAAAGAAGATCTTGCTTGCGATGAAGGATCTAATGATGGAATTAGTCTCTTATCTAGAAAATATTTGCCGAAAGCAGGGACCAAAGGCAGTAATGTTGGCAGAAGAATTATCAATGTGTATCAGAAACTTAGGAAAATTAAGCCACGTGCATTTACCAGCTACCCTTGTAAACCCTGTTTATATACTCATTACTCTAATCGCTGGTTTTCCCATGCTGAATATCACTTAAGTGCTGATTCATTGGTAAGTGGCAAATTTTTAAAAATTATCTTCCTTTCATACATATTTTCTCCGTCTATGCTAATAAGGTACTTGAAGAAGTCGAATTCCCAAGTCTGTCAAAGAAAGAAAGTAGGGCAGTTGAGGAGAAAATAACAGGATCCTGAAAGAACAAAGGAAGAAGAATTCTCCCAAAAAAGAACCTTATTTTCCAGATTTACAAAATCTGATTTTTTTACGGACCTAGGTATCTTAATTCTCTCAATACCTAGTCCAGTTTCATCTTGACAGGGTGGCAGAAAAAATCTTAAAAACTTGATTTTATTAAAAATTTTTGTTGATCAGGAAATACCACTGATATATCAGGAAATTGGAAAAAATAACAGAAGATAAGGATATATTTTTAGGTACGTGGTAGAATCTCATGAAAAAAAAAATAAAAGTTTTCAACTTATTTTTTGTATATTAAACATAAGAAGTGTCAGAATCATTTGAAATAAGTAATCAAAGAATTTTTTTTGAAGTATCAGGAAGAAATAATGAATTGAGGAATCTTGAATTCCTCCAAGCAGAAGAATGTTTGCCATCTTGGCTGATTTCAAATTAATAGAGGATCGATCCTACCACTTAATCATTAAGAACTAATGCCTAACAGATATTACGCATTTTTAACAAGCCTGAAGTTGCCTGCTGTGTTTAAGCATTCAATTATTTTCTTTCTTTGTATTTTTCAGTACCATCGTTATCATTTAGTATTTCATATTTTTTTCATTACCATCATTTTCATTTAATTTTTTTTTCCATAATATCGTTTCCTTTTTATGTTCACATTGCAACACCCCTCCCCCCTCCTCCCTCCATAGCGGTGCATAAAATCTGCAAAATGAGGATGGATTTAATGTAAAAAAAAAAAGTATGAATCTTGTTCAGCCAAGTCATTGATATCCCTCACTGTCCAGCAAGTAAGCATACCACTTGAGGTATTGATGACCAAGGTGGGAGACCAGATATCTGCATTTGCAACTTTGCAGAATTCCTGTCATATTTTATTTTTTCCTTGGCAAACTACTCAGCGTAATTTCTTGAAAACGTCCTTGATTTTTCCTCTCTAATTGCAGAATATTCTGTATAAATTTCAAGCTAAAAAGTTGGCTTGTTCCTCCTTGAAAAAATAAAATCGGAGCGGAAATTTTGAAACACAGGAATGGAGATACGTAAATTGGCACTTTGGGCATCAATACTTCAGCAACACTTGTGAATTATTCATTCTAATGGTTGATAATAAACCACAGATAAATATACCTCGCACCTGCATCAGAAGTCCCAACAAGCTGTACACCCTCAGTATGTTGTCCCTAATATTTGCAAGTATCCTTGTTGCGAAATAGTAAAAATTCACAGTGGTTTGCACCTTTAGAGACATCTTATTCTACAAATAAAAAATCATAAGAGTTATGTGTAGCGCCTAATACCTGAGGCACGAAACGTTGCAGGAGTTGGACGAGGCCAAGCTTCTTAGTCTTAATAAAAAATCATTATTTCACCATAACACTCAGTTACATAAATTTAGGTTGATCAGTTGAAGAATTTCAGTTCCAAGGAGAACCTTGTTGTCTCTGCTTTTAAAATGTAGAAACTTCTCTTGAAAGTGTCTCTCGTGGTTTTTGTGTGTTTGATGAAAGCACCAATGTCCATGAGTCAAAATAGGTTTTTCAAGAATTTCCGCACAATTGATAGAAATTTTCCTCTCGTTGAGTGTTGGGTCATCAATGCATGGAACACAATGTTGACATTGTAAATGATGGATATCCAATAAATTTGCCTTAACAGCTCATCATGACAACCATTTTCCCTGTCAATGTTCTTGCAACTCAAACACTAACAATTGTTTGAACTGAAACTTCTCGCTATGCTTGCATGCATTCAATCATAAAATGTAGGTATCCTATTGTGGTCTTATTTTATGGTTTCTCTCGATGAGTGACAGAATGCATCATCCAAAAAAAAATTTTTTTTTCAAATCTTTTGTTTTAACTAACAAGGATAAAAAATTAATGAAAAAATTAACATCTCAGTAATTCTATAGGAGCTTGCTATCAGCTATAATTTTGAGATTAACCCTAGAATCTACCCAGAAAATGTGTACTATAAAAACAATGTCCAATTTTGTATCCTTCCCCGACTTTTTTATGGTGGGGAGCAAGGAGGTAAAGGAAAAGGAGAGAAGATATCCTGATATTCTTGACCTACTACCTCTCTGCAAGTGCCCTGAGGGAGCTTTTTTTCTTTTTCAACTGTCACAACCCGAGATTCTGCAAGAGGATATCGATAGCCAAAGTACAAAACAACGTATCTCTGTTTTGCGAAGCTGCTGCCTTCCTGTCTTACTTTATTTTTTCTTTCGAAAATCAGTCAACATAATTGCTTGAAAACTTCCGTAATTTTGCCTCCGTGTTAGCAGAATATACTGAATAAACTGCAAGCTATAAAGTTGCACTGTTTCTCTTCAAGAAAAATAAAATAAGAGGGGAAATTATGAAACATTGCACTGGAGATGCGTCATTACCAACTTTGGCCATCAGTACAGAGATAAATTCGTATGGTCCTTTATAGTAGACAGTGAAATTTTAGAAGGTGATTCGTTCCTTCTTCCCTCTCGAACGCGAGACTTTTCGTCAAATACATTTATGTCCAGAAAATCTGTTTTCAGATGGAGCTAAAACTTCTGGAAAATTTTCTATACCATCCACCTTGGATAGCATTCAAATTCGTTTCTCTACATTATTTTCCAAATTGTAAGAATCTCAAGTTTTTCAATGGTTTTTTTCATAGTTGTATAAAGCATCCCCTTTGTTAATTTTTTTTTTCTTTCATGGCTCATCTGTTTAAATTCTTGTTTTGTTCTAGAAAGAGGATATAGATTCTGAAGATGATAAACATGATCTGTCCTCAAAAATTCCTTCTGGGACGAATAAAACTCCGGGTGTGCTCAATGTTATTTTGGAAAATGTACCAGAAAGGTAATGACAGTTTTAAAGTCTTCCCTTTAATGCTGGAAAAGTCTATCTTTTCTTACCTCAGTTGAACCTTTGTTATCTGCCGCCAGCTATTCAGCAGGCATTCTAAGGTCATTTTTGAGGAAATTTTTTTATCCTAAGCTCAGTTTTTTCAGCTTTTTCATTTTTCTAACGTACACTGTGGCTTTTCGACTATCCAGCGTTTTCAGTATCTGGTGCAGGTCTCCACAAAAAATCGCCAGATATCCAAGGTTCGACTGTATTTGATATTTTTGAACTCTTAAGGTGAACATTTTTATGACTTAATAAGTGAAACATTGTAGTTTTTACTTTTTGTCGCAGTATCAGGATTTGGAAAGTATGCTGTTTTAGTGCAGCATGTTTTACTCCAAGGCATTTTCACCTGTCTGTAAAAAATAAGTGCAATATCTTAACATGTTTTGTTTAAGCAAATATACAACCGGTGGTTAAATCAGGGATTATGAATTGAATTAACCCTGAACAGTTTAAGGAAACTTTTCTGAACTCCATGGTGTTTAAGCAACCATACTGTCTAAAAAATAAAATGAATGTACCCAGAATTTGGAATGTCTGAGAATACATTTAAGTTTCCAGAAAAGTAATTTGTCCTGAATCAAAAAATCCAGATGAGCAGTCCCTCTTGTTTGTGACAAATTCTTAAAATATTAATATGAACATCCCAGGCAGTTTGGAGAGAAATAAGTAGCTAGTCTGGAATGATATGTATAATAGTTAATTAAAGTTTTGGCTCCTATACCATTATTAAATAACATATTTTTCTGATAGTGAAAAGTAAATTTCTTTGTGAAAATGTCATCATGTTCGTTTATAAATATAAGACTGACCAAACACTGACTATTAATGCTTCCACAGATGGAGAAACTGGACGATTCGAGGAATTTTCACTTGCTTGCTGATTGCCGTTTTCTGTCTAACAATTTATGGAGGCCCGCTTGCATTGATGGTCATTGTAAGTTTTCTTTTCTCCTCTCCTCGTCACTTTTTTTAAATTTGAAACAAATTTTTGAATTTATCTTAAATCTAGAATATTTCTTCAACAATGGTAAGAATTTTAGCACTACAATATATGTTTTCTCTTCTAAATGGGTGTGGGTATTTAAATGAGGAGGAACTATCTTTACCGCGACATGGGCCCTTTCATGCATGTGTTTTATGCTCCCCCTCCTCCCCTAAAAAGGGGGGAGGGGGAGTGAGAGGTTGTCTTACAGTAGTCTTACATGGGGAGGGGGTTAAAAAGTCAGCTGAAACGCCTTAGGCAATTCTTGAAAAGCCCCTTAGTTCGAGTGGTTTAATTTTATTTCACGTCAAAATCCAGAAAACCTATCAGATAGAATGTTTAATCACTTAGGTGGATGGAATGAGAAAGAAAGAGCACCAGTCAATTGTTCAACAGTTCTCGGTCCTTTTGTTATTCTCACCTGCTTGCCTGAATTACACTACAGATATAGGGCTTCTTTTTCCAATACTACATGATAACAATGAAACATCTGCTTTGATGCTTAAGGATTATGTAACCTTGTGTTTACGTTTTTCCAATATGTTTGTGTGTGGTGACCAGATTTATTTTGAGAAAGAGTCAAGTGTGATTGCAGTCATGGGGGGCATGAACTTTACCATATCTCGTTGATGCATAAATGCATTATTGAAGCTTTGACCCGACCAGTTGACCTATTCTCACTGATAAAAGATTTAATAATAGTTGCTCCCCTCTAATGTTACAGGAACAATGGGTTTATAACATTGTGTGTAGGACCTGAAAAAACTGGGAAGTACTGGGGTTTCTCAGAAACTGAATTAGATATTAGGAAAAATCAGAGAATTTGCCAGGGAATCGGTGCAACAAACAGGGAATATATTCTTTCTGCTCTAAGAAGTAAAATTATTCTAAAAATCGATGGTCTGTTTTGACTAGGCTTCAAAAAATTGGACAAAATATGAAACAATTGATCCCCCCCCCCCCCGAATTTTCGAGAAAAATCGAATTATTTTTTAGAGAATATGGAGGAAAATAACGGGAAATCCCAGATTTTCATCAGGGAATTTGTCCGCGGAAATCGGGAGAAGGAAGGGAAATATCTGGGAATGAAAAAAATCAAGAATTCTAGACACCATGGCTTTAAGGGACTCAGAAGGCCCTGAAACACCCGGATGTGTTGAAAACTCAATTGTGAAATTTCAAGGGAAAACTACATATCACAAGTTGATCTTCGAAGTTCTTTGTCTAACTCCCGACTCTTCTTTGGGTAAGACAACGAAAACCAGGAAATGTTGGGGAATTTTAAACATTAGAGAAAAACTGGCCCAAACTAGTGACGAACTCATCAGGGATAAAACAACCTTTATTTGCTTTCTAGAACAGGATAAACTTAAATTCAAAAATTCTTTAAAAAAATAAGATATGTACCTAAAATTCTTCTAGGAAATGATCGAATTGTCATGGAATTTTATTATTTGTCAGGGATTTTAAGGAAATGTCAAGGAAGTTGATTTTCCAAAGTCTGTGACAAAATTAGAAAAGACTATGGACTCCAGCCTTTTTCCCCTTCAAATTGCAATCTCTCATTAGCGTTATATGCATTGATAAAAAGAGTAAAAATGACTAAAAATTTGGGCTCCAGTTGCAAGGCTCTGTAACTGTTTCAAATGGCCACTGAAAGCCTTGTAAATTTTAAATTTATTGTATCTACTGTCTTTTTGAATTGGGAACAGACAAGGGCCTTCAGTTTTTGTCAAGGTGTTAATTTTTTTTATAAATGTCACCGAATTGGGAGTGAGAAAGCCACTCAGACTTCCCATTTGTTGCGAGACATCACATTTTTTTAATAACTGCTAAGCGAGTGATCACTATTAGAAATAATTTAATAAAAAGTATTTGCAAAAAATTGAAAATCAGAGGTCTCTTGAGACCTTTGGAATTTTATTTTTCTTCTTCTTTATATTATTTATTCAGCAATAGTATAATTTTAAAGATGCCATATTGGCTTACAAAAAAATAAACACTAAATAATGGTAGAAATTACATAAGGCTTCAAGAATTTAGTGAAAAAAGCAATCCCCCTCAATTAAGATGGAGGGTGCGTTGTGGAAAATTAATTGGAATTGATTGACTGGCCTTTATTTTGTGTGAGTTACAGCCAAACACTTGGAGTTTGTGTTGAGTTTTTTTCTCTCTCATTCTCTTTGAAACTGCAGTGTCTCTAGCTGTTAAATTTCCTGAAATTATAATTGCTTTATTTTCCATCTTACAGACTCTCATTGTGCAAGTCAAGTGTTTTGAAGAAATCATCAATATTGGATACACAGTATACAGAATTCATGGTCTCCCATGGTTCCGGTCTCTCTCTTGGTATTTCTTGATCACATCCAATTACTTTTTCTATGGCGAGAGCTTGGTAGATTATTTTGGAGTTTTGATCAGTCGAACTGTGAGTATCTCTCAATTTCCTCACTTTCTAATACGAATGCCTAAACTTCAAATTTTTAAAAAAATTTAGATTGCTATTATTCCTCAAGAGCCACAAAGCTTCTCTTCTGTGAAAACCAGTGTTTGATAGAGTATTATTCATTCCATACAGAAATTAGGAGAAACATTGGAGTTTTATAACCATAAGTAACAAAACTATTGAAAATCGCAATAAGACTTGGACATATCATCATAGAGTATATAGAGTCGTAATGTAAGTGGGTGAGCTGGCGCCACTTTTAAGCATTTTCCAGGTCCCGAATTCCGAGACTCCTGTGTGACGTCGGGTCACTTTTTCGATACATAATCAATTGTTTGCAATACACGGATACCCGGCCATCTGATGTAAACAAAGAAGATAGGAATCACCACGTATTCCATACCGCCATTTTGGATCGAACATGTATCAAAAAAGTGACCCGAACTTGGCGCACACCGGGCTCGGAACTCGTCGAGCAGAACATGGCGCCAGCTCTCCCATTTACATTACGACTCTATGTACTCTATGCATATCATGCGTTACAAGACTATGAACCACAGTGTGTATAAACATAAGTTATATTACATTTACAGACATTTTGGTCAATTTTTTCAACGACCTTTAGTATTTCCATGAGGATATTGACATAAAAATAGGGTGTTCAAACGAATGCTTGTAGGTAACTTGGTAAGCTATTGTCACTGCTTGCTCTGAAACACTGATACACTCCAATAAGGCTGCTCTCACTGGAAACAGCTGGAGCTATTGTAACTGTGTGAGGGTGTGTGCGTGTGTGAGCCTTGAGTCAAAGCATTGTATGGTCATACAGCAATCAGTTGAGTTGGTTGGCCCTCCCTTGCTTTTATTGCAATGGCTGACAGAATTCAACTAGAAATAAAAACTAGTACAATTGGGCCTTTGGAATGCATTTCTGATGCTGAGTCATTTTAACTGAAATCAACAGATAGTTAGTACTGTTTCTTCGGAGACAATATTGATTCCTAGACAATGGATTCATTGTTAGTTACTGATAAATGCTATTAGGAAACAATATTTACAAATGAGCGCAATCAAATGTTTGGTTCTTAGTGTTCTTACTTTAAGACATTGCTTTTTTCTGCTTTGATTTTTCCCTCTGAAATGGAAAAGGAAGAAAACCCATAAGTCATCATTTACGCATAAAATTAAAGTAATCACAAATGTTGAGAATGAACTCGTCCAATTGACGGATAATTTTTCCTTCTCTGAGAAAGCTGAAAAACCTCTCTCATTGAAGCAAGGGTCTCCTTCTATGTGAAACTATAAGCTTTATACCCAGACTTTAATTCATAACTTCTTTATTAATACTGAGTCAATTTTTTACAGGATTATTTGCGAGTGCTGGTAACGTATCATCGATTCTTTTCGTTTTGCTTGTACTGCATTGGATTCGTTTGGTTTGTTCTTTCTCTGGTGCATAAGTACTACATGAAACAGTTTTCATTATTTGCATGGACCCATGTTGCATTACTAATTGTTGTTACCCAAAGTTACCTCATCATCCAAAATATATTCGAAGGACTTATTTGGTAAGTTCATAAGTTGACTTTCATATCTATCCTTCATAATAGATGTATGAACAAATTGATGAAATGAAGTGCACCACATACAAAGACCATAGAGTACATAGAATCGTAATGTACGTAGGAGAGCTGGTGCCACTTTTAAGCAATTTCCAGGTCCCGAATTCCAAGACTCTTGTGCGGCGCTGGGCCACTTTTTCGATACATAATGGATTGTTTGCAATACATGGGGACCGGGGGACCCGGCCATGGAATTACTACGTATTCCATACTGCCATTTTGGATTGAGTATGTATTGAAAAAGTGACCGGAACACCAGGCTAGGAACTCGCCAAGCAGAACATGGCGCCAGCTCTCCCATTTACATTACGACTCTATGTACTCCATGACAAAGACATAACTTTCATTTCAAAATGTATTCTTAAAATCTTAAAGTCAATCATTTTTTGACAAATTGAAATGCCGAGGAAATTAACTCTTTAGAGAATGCACCTGCAGAACGTTAAGTGTAATTGCTATGGTTAAATTTTATAAATATTACAAGAAAAAATATTGCTTTTAATGCCACAGAATTTCCATTAAATCAGTTATTTCTGTGCTTTGATCCAGTGTCCTCTCCCTCATTTGACTATCATGGTTCATATCATTCAATAAGCTTTCAGCTAATGACATGAAAAGATTTTTTAATGTGATTTTTCAGCAAAATTTGCGAGTTTCCTACTCAGTTCTAATCCTACATACCAATCTATTCCAGGTTTATTGTTCCTGTGTCAATGATAGTAATAAATGATATTTGGGCATACGTATTTGGCTTCTTCTTTGGGCGCACTCCTCTGATTAAGCTGTCTCCAAAGAAAACGTGGGAAGGATTCATTGGTGGAGGCGTCTCAACAGTTGTTTTCGGTTGCTTTGTAAGTTTCAAAATGAATCATTTTTTATTCTGTGTCGATCTATATTAGTATTTAAACTGAATTCAATCCCAGAATATGTAACAACGAACTACCACAACTGAGCAGAACTGATCTAATATTTCTCTTTTTCACTTTCTTTTGTTCTGTTGTTATTTCTGGGGTGATTTTTTTTCTCTAAAAAGCGGAAGGAAGTGTTCAGAAAGTTACTTAGAGTTAGAGAGAGAATCTTCACTGCTTTTTAGATTAGTTTGGCCATCAAGCGGTAGTCAATGACGTACCGCACTAAAGTACCCCACTGTTGTTTACTCTAATTGCACAAAGCAGTTTATATAAAAAAAAGATTCCTTCTGTTCTCCAGCAAAATTGACTCTTTTAGCAAAACTAGCCAAATATCGAAGGAAAAAAATGATTAATAATTTGATTATTATTGTCTTTTTAATATACCAAGGTAGCCATGTGCCTTCACCCTATGAAAATAAGTAGAAAGTAGACAAAGAAAATTGTTCTTTAAAAATGTCTTAATTTTCTCAGTCAAGTTTTATTTTACATTAACAACCTATATTGAACTCAAAATTTATGTGATAAGTATTATGGTTTCATCAGTTTAATTTTTTAGGATTTTTTGATAAGGTTAAAAAACGTCTACGACAAAATGCATGGTACCAAAACGTCTCATTATCATTGTATTAATTTCAGGATGCAAAAAAACAAGTACGCAAGGTTTTTTTCCTCTCCTGTTCTTTTTTTGTGCACTCAGTAATCAAAATTTTCAATTTTCAGCTGTCATATCTTCTCTGTCAGTATCAGTATTTCATTTGCCCGATTGAGTATAGCGAAAAATTGGGTCGTATGACAATGGATTGTGAACCCTCTCCTCTCTTTAGACCACAAGAATATATGCTTCCTGAATCAGTATCGCCAGTCTTACGACTTGTAAGTCCTTGCTTAATTTTATTTTATGTATTTAGTTTTTTTTTCTTTCTCTTTTATCATTAGAGGTAAACTTTTAGCTTGTAAACAAGTTTCCTACCAGGTAGCAGCATAAAAAATAAGTTTCTCTGTTTTAGTTATTAATTTTTTTCCCTCAAAAATACTCAAATTTTGAGAAATGAATTGACAGGTAGTAATATTTCAATTAAAAGTGAAACAAGTATGCCTTCAAGATTTATGTCAGCCTCATGGCCTCGCTAATCTCAAATGACATCCCTTTTACTTCTGTCTGCTTCATTTTCCTTACTGATGAGTTGGATAATTGCATAGTTGAATAGTAAGTATTTTGTACAATAATCATAAATTTTGTTTGCTTCATATCCATGACTAAAGTGCAAAACCATGTATCTCCATTGTGATGTTTCATAATTTCCGCTTCCATTTTATTTTTTCGAAGAAAAACAAGTTAACTTTTTAACTTCAAATTCATACAGAGTATTCTGCTAACTGAGTAGAAAAATCATGAAAGTTTTCAGGAAATTACATTGACTAGTTTTTCGAAGAAAAACTAAAGTACGATAGGAAGTCTGCAAGTGGTGGTACGTTGTATTGAACTTTGGTCATGTACATAATTAAATGTGACTATCCAAGAGGAAAAGGCCCCCAGCTGAAAATGGCAAATTTTTTAAATGAGTGTTTTTTGTCAATTTGGATAAACGCATTAGTATTTGAGTTTTGACGGATAGTACTCTCAAGTATCTGCTAGGATACAGTAAACGCAGTTATTTTAATAACGACTCCGTCTAATTGATGTGGCTTTAATTTTACAGTTTGGTTTCAAGAAGTCCATCCACATGTATCCGTTTGTGCTGCATTCTTTATCTTTGTCCCTCTTCAGCTCAGTCATCGGACCTTTCGGTGGATTTTTTGCAAGTGGCTTCAAAAGAGCATTTAAAATCAAGGTATTACTTCAAGCTTTATTTCTCTCACTATTTCTGTCAAGGCTTCCAGTGTAAAAACTATATATTACCGTCGACTCTTAGTACACTGTTTAACGAAACCCTAAATGCAATGTTCTTTTCATCTGGCTTAACTCTCATGAGAAACTTTTACATTTGAAGTTACTTTTATGTTTCACATTAATTTTAACATTTGACTAATTTAGCCTTGTGCAAAGAAAAGATACAATATCAAGTGCTCATCGCGCTGTATTAGCTACTGAGTCATGTGACCAGATGACTTTCCATTTTGCAGATGAATATACATAAGAAAGAAGGAGCTGGCAAGTTTGAATTTATAACAATTAAATCTCTTTGAATCTTATCCTTTATTCATGATGATTGAGGGGACAGATCTGTCAAAAATTGTTTTAGTATAAATTTTCCTGTAAAAGCATTCCGGAGCTTCATTTCTGGTTCATCCCTGAAGTAATGTCTTGAATCATTATTTCTTATTAACTTCATGACAATTTCCATACACATTGTTTCGAAACTATGTCCAAAACCTGTGTTTTAGAACTTTGTTCGAAAGCACAGTTTCCAATTAACATTTTTTTCGGCGCAATAAAAACTGTTTCCATCAGGGTAGCTTACGTTCGAAAATGATATTATGACTTTTGCGCAGTCTCATTTTTTTTTTATATATAATAAGAATAATGTAAAATAGTGTATTTCCTTCAAATAAAAACACTAAAATTCTTGCGTTTATGGATAGCTTTTATATCATACTGGAATTAAGGTCCCAAAATTATGTAATCGACATTTTCTCCCAAAAATCTTCACTGAGCAAAAATCTTCAACCTCTCATCGTCAACTGTTCTTCTTCTAATTCATCAAGATAATAGAAATACCATCCCATCATCAGGGGCATAGGTAAATTCCTCACTGGTATTTGCATCAGGCGTAAAAATGCCCCCTTTCCTCTCTCCAAGTAAATTTACACAAAGGGCGAGTAATTTCTATGTATTTCTAGTGATGATGTCCATGTCTTGCCTATAGTTTTATTATGTTTTATTCACAGCCTCATGATTGTCTTTTTAATAAAAATTGTTAACTTTACAGGACTTCGGAGATGTGATTCCTGGTCATGGAGGTATTATGGACCGATTCGACTGTCAGTATTTGATGGCGACCTTTGTCAATGTCTACATCTCTAGTTTCATTCGATCTCCGTCTCCACAGAAATTGTTGCAACAGGTATGTTGTTGTTTTCTTTTGTTATTTTGTGCCCTCTTTCTTTTGAATCACGGATGTACGAGAGTTGTCCAGAAAGTGAGTTTACCTATTTTATACCTCCCAAACTAAAAAAATGGGAGATCAGTTTTCTCAATATAATTAAAGTAGACCAAAAGCAATCTCCATTAGTTTAATTACACCTTTTTTTCAAGCAGGAAAAAATTCTGAGGCTCATGTAACACTTAGTGAATGAAGCCATAGGCATTTATTTGTGTGAATGAGTGTTTTCGTTTTCCCATAAGTCTTTTGAAGTGAATTCTTTGTTGACCATTTACAAGAAAAAGGACTTAAATACTGAAAAACTCAAATCTATCACACTAGTACCACCATCAGAATAAATATTCTACAAACATGTTAGCACATAAAATGTCAAACCAAACTGAGTTTTTGACGTTCTGAAGCTTGCAGCTCAAATAACTCAGTTTGAATGGGCCATGTTTGCAGCTTCAGAATTTTTGGATTAAAATTCGACTCATGTCCTATGTTGAAACCAAAAAAAAAACTGAATTCTTCCCAACTTATTTTTCTGAATATAGTAGAGTAATGTCTGTCAAAAATTTATATTTTGCTTCAGTCAATCTGATGAAAATTGTCACTTGAAGTTAGTTTTCAGGCTTTCGAACCCCCTTTCCTGTGAATGGTCGCTTGCAGAAAGAATATTTTTTTCAATGACTTGAACCGAATACTAATTTTTACCTTTTTTTATTGAAGGTATTTACTTTGAAGCCTGAGCAGCAACTTCAACTGTACTATTCTTTGAAGGAGACATTGGAAAATCAACGGATTTTAAGTGGCTTTGAATGAAAGGTGATATCCTCAGAAGGGACGTAAGTTTATGTCTCTACTTTTTACCTATCCAATGTCAGTTACTCTTTTTGTCAATTTTTTTTTTAGTTTTTTTAGTTTTTTGTCCACCCAGTCCACATTATGGCATAAGATGCCCAGGTCACTCAAAAATCCTCTCATGGTTTAATTACTGATCATTTGTAAATATTAATTGGAAATAGAGTCACCTCCGCAAATAAACGTTCAAGACAGGCAAAAATTCAATTTTAAGGTCAAATCAATGACTTTCACTGATCTTGATCCATCTTGATGTGGATGTTGCAGTCAATTTTCTTAAAAATGCGCCTCAACAATAGCCTCTGTCCTTTTTTTCTTTTTTTTCCGTTAATATTTTTATTCTCATATTTTTGAATTGCATTTAAAAATTAAAAAATCAAACTTGTAGCAAGTTTTCCAAAGATTTTCTCAGCCTCAAACCTAGGCCTCAATTTTGTCGGCAGGTTTATGATCAGCTGTAAGTTGATACAAGAATGTGGACTTCATTATTTGATCGTTAATCAATTATTTGCACTGTTGAGGAGCTAAGGATGGCTCAAGCCTGATTTAAAAAATCCTCAACTTGCGTACAGTTTGAGTTTAGAATATAATTTTTCAACTTTAAGTCAAATTTAGAGGCTAGGTTTTGCAACTTGCGGTCGAGCACAGCCGATAAAATTAGGGCCTTGATCAGACCATAATGTCAGCTGCAATGAGCTATGGTAGTCTTGAGTAGGTTGATGTAAACCAACAGGATGTGAATTTTGAAATCCAGGTGGAAAAAGAAATGTGGTTGTTAGGCAGTCAAGTGTTATTGTTACAATGAGCTTATTCTGTAATTTTTAAAGGAGCTCTCATGCATCAGTTTTGAGATTCATATGCTTTTCCTTCTGAAAAATTTAGCCAGAAACATGACGGTGTCACATGTCTCTCTGAAGCGATCTTACCAAACCCATAAAAGCTCTCAAATTCGGGACTGTAAACGAGGGGATCCCCCAAGCTACGCACGTTGAGAGTGCACCTCTATACCTACTCCAACTCTACATGCACAGAAAGTGAGCAAATACATCAGCAAGGATGTTACTTTGTTTAGGGACTCCAAGACTAGAACCGGAGCATCCTTGCTAATATATTCGCTTTCCACCTGCGCATGGAAAGTTTTACCAGCTGTAAAATTCTCAGTGCAGCATTCTCCCATTGGGTCCCATCCCTGTGACGGAGGATCCCTTCTATTAGAGCCTCAACTTTGAGAGCTTTTATAAAGTTGGGAGTTCAGAGGAAACCAGTGGCCCCTTCAAGTTTTGAAAAATAATTCACGTAAGATCAATTGCTTAAATTTTAAATTTATGATGCACGCAAGAGCTTATTTGTCGCATTTTTAAAAAGTAGAGAGTTCACAAGAATTTTTCCTGATTTTTCTGTATTAATAATGGCTGCCTTGATAATTAATTGCAGCAGAAGAGTCCCATGGTCTAAAAAGTACTTTTAACAGAATTTAAATTTTGCCTGTTGGGATTGAATGAAGCTTATATTTTAACCTATTTTAAAATAATTTGTTGTCAAAAGTTTGCGTGTCAACAACTTTTAGCAACTTTGAAGTTGTACTTGGTTGTCAGGCCGATCTCATTCAAAAAAGGTGGGAAAAACTCCTGTGAAGTAGGTGCACTCTCCACTTTTTAAAAATGCAAGAATTTAAAATTACAGTACAAGGACATTGATGGCTTTCCAGATAACTTATTTGTAGAGAATGCATACTAATCAACCAGTCCCTAAACATTGGTTCTATGGCGTTTAATTTTATTATTTAAGTATTCTCTTAATTTTTTTTCCAGTATGAGTCATAGCCTCATTGAAAAATTCTTTGTTCCTTAATAGTGTATTCTTATGTTTATAATTTATTGTCTCTGTTTGAGAATCTGTATAGATTTGATGAGTTTTGTATCATTTATTTTTTTCTCCAGCCTAGGCTCCCTGAAGTTTAAACAACGTTAGACCCAGATCCTATGCTGAGGAATTTTTTAGGTTGAACTTATTTTTTCGTTTCAGTTTTTCGCAGAAATTTTGGCGTTTGAGCCAAATTTTCAATAACATATTACGATCAGATTGTAAGGATCGAGAACTTACTTTTGTGTGAGTTACTTTTTTTTATACGACTTTGAAACATAGAAAACCAGAAACGAATTATAATTAACAAAAAATTTGCCAGTTTCATGGGAGAAAACTTTTTTTATTGCTTAGTACTTGTGGCTCTTAACTTCTTTGAAGTAAGAAAGTCTGCTTGCCATTAAAAATCAACAGAAAAACTCCTCTCTTTCTAGTCAAAATTTCTCTCCGTGTTCTTCTCTGATTGTCAATACAACCCCACCATTCATTTATTTGCTGAGCTCTGAGCATATTATCGTATTGTTCAATGATGAGTAATTATATAATTATGTATAATTTTCTTCCAAAAATTTAAGTAAGAGGAATAGGAAAACAGAAGCCATCGAAATGTAGTAAGGATTAGAAAATTGTTGGGTTTTTTTCCTCCTTTGTTTCTTCAAAATTGGTTAATGCTTATTTTTCAATCTATTTTAAAATACTTTTCTGTCAAAAGTTTGTGTGTCAACAGCATTGTTGATGAAATAAAAGGAATTGAAAAGTTAAAGTAATTTGTAGATGTAAATGGCAGAGGAAATGCATTTTCGTCTACGAAATCCATCCTTTGTCGAAACGAAGAAAATGTGTACATATATATGTATGAATGTTAGTTTCTTCAATGCACTGAGAATTTGTATGATAGTAACTGTAAATTTTGTGTAGGGACTTGGAATTCTATAGTTACCACTGATAGTTTTGACAAATTCCCCCTTCACTGATGCTAGAGGTTTTGAAGCAGACTAATCTGCAATGATCGGATGAATCGTTCTTCAACACTGTGGGAATTCCACATTTGTTTTTGATTAATTTGGTTTCAATGTTTGTACTCTTTCAAAAAAGACTAGCTATTTGTCACACTCATTACTTCCTCAGAGCTTGTCTCTGTTTTGTTGTTTGTTTTAGGCTTTAATAATTTAGCAAATCTATATTAATTTACAATGATATATCAACGGTGAAACTGCAAAAACGCATAGCTCAGTTGCAATGTTTCAAAACGACAGCTCCTATTTCCTTTTCCCTAAGAGGCCAAACTAACATCATAGCTTGCAATTTTCTCAGAATATTCTTAGAGTGCATGCCAAATAAGTTTATGCACTTTTAGACTGTGGCAGCACATTGTTTAACTTAGGAAGAAAAAAATCACCAAATTTTAAAAAAAGTGGTCTAGTAGTTATCTATATATGTAGAAACAGAAGTGTAACAAAATGTCTGCAAGGTCGCAAACCGCTAACGCATTTCTGCTGTTTCACCATCACTATATGCATGTATCTACTGTGAAGAATGAGGGTCTACCACGCTGATATGATAGTATTTTTACAGAAAATTCGAAGGCAGTGGATATATCTAATTTTTTAAAAAAAATTTCAATGAATTTTTGCGCTCCTCATGAAGATTGGTCCTGAAGGAATGTTCTTCCCTCAGAAAATTTGCTAGCCCTCTTTGGCGTCAAATTTGTTTCACTTTTCTACATATACACTCGCCTCATCAAGTACTTATTGTTAGTGATGATCCAACTGTAGGAAATGATGTTACAGCCAGTAAATTTCCTGAACCAAGAAAATTACTTTGACCTTTACAGTAGTTTTAAGGTAATGACGAAAACATAAATATTATTATTTCTCTTATTTCCCAATTTGTTTGTAAACAATTACCTATGATAATGATGAGAACCTCTTACCTACAAATGTCAGTATAATTCTTTTTCATCAAGGATTTTTGACTCTTCCTTTATTAGTTGATTTTTTGGCACTTAAATTAAGTGTGGGCTAAAATGATTTAAACTATTGGATGATTTATTTAGTATTATCACTTTCAAATGAAAGACTCAGTGTTATTTTACAATTGGAGGAAAAGAAAAAACATTGATTTGGTGCTGATGAAAATGCCAATACATACAAGTTATACTTATACATGTTGGCAGAACTTTATTTATGTTTTGGAGTTGATGGTGACCATATTTCTGATGAAAGGTGAAAGTGAAAGTTCGAACAACTTGTTGTAGGTTTAAATACTAGTTAAACGCTTGTTGCAAGTTTTTTTTTATTCAGCATCGTAGTAAATGTATGTATCTTACAGTCTGTAGAATTTGGCTACATACCTTGTCTCATCAACTTCAAAAAAATCTGTTGGTTAAAGAGGATATCTCATTTTATGTGTAGTTGGTTAGTTGCCTTTGTACTGACCCAGAAATAAGTGGATGGGCTAGCTATTATGTTTGTATTATTTCAATTTGTGAATACTAGTTAAAACAAACTGTCTTCTTGTTAATAAATGTTGTTGTTTTGTTGTCGTTTTTTTGGAATCGGCATGCTCTTAATGTTGTAGCAATGCATAAATTATCAGTCAGTACCTAATTTTAAGTTTCCTTCTATTTATTTATTTATTTATTTATTTATCTATTCATTCATTCAAATTTAAAAAAAGTGACTGTGAAAGGACCATGATTATGCCAATCAATTTTACTAAGAGCACTGTAAGCAATGAGAATACTGTGAATGCTCTCTTTTCTTCTCAGCAAGTCTGATCCACCTTTCGTTGGCTGCAGTATTTTTAGAAACTTAAATGGGCCACTAGGCAAGGTACCAGATTAAGAATCACAACATGTGTTGTTTCCCCATTGAAATTTCAGTAAAATACGATGGGCGCATTAAGACTTTCAAAATTCAATTAATAAGTCAGAAAATAACGGTTTTTGTCCATGTAAATTTACAAAGAAAAAACACTAAAAAATGGCCCAAAAGTTCTTTATAAAGTAATTTTTAAAGTACTTATAAAGTAGTTTCAGTGTATTCTACAATGTAAACATTTTCTGGTGTATTACTTTTTTTTTTAAAAAAAAAAAAAGAAAAATCAAAGATACGTTATATCAAACGATGAAGACAATGTGTGTAAAACTGTAAAATCAAGCTCCAGTTAATCGTTTAGTGTAGAGCTTGATTTGAGTGCCTAATCCGGCCCACATTCATAATGGTATTTTTGTACCCAGGAAGTTTGAATTTACTGTCCATAATGCAAGCTATGAACGTTTATTCCTGACTTGCGTTTCTCACTTGGAATTTGTCGATTTGTACAATTTATTTTGGGTGAAATTTTGACATGGAAACATATACTATTGTTCTTATTTCCTTGCCTTGTCTAGTGAGCTATCATTTTTTTAACACTTGTGAGGGTGCACTGTATCTTTACGTAACTTCTCATATGATTTGTCTTATTGAACTGGAGGGCCTGACTTTAGTTGCTGTGTATGAAGCCACCACAAGCCTTCTGGCATGCATTTGTATACTGAACCAATTTGTCCTTGAAGCAGCTTAGATGTACGAAACCTGTCTGTAGAAAAAAAATGAGGAAAGTCTATGTACGTATTTCCTTTTTGTTTAGTTTCTCTGTCCAACCCTTGTCTGACGGTCATATACTAGATCAGCTTGTTTTATAACTCTTGTCGTAAGTTTAGGGACCACTGGCGAAGTCTTAAATAAAGCTACACAAATAGTCTCTCATTTCCTAATTTTTGGGTCTAATGTTCCTTGACTTAAGTATCTCAATTTTATCTTAGGTAACGATTCACTTCTTTCCAGAAGTGCCCTTCAGTTCAGCCCATTTTTCTCTGTATATTCCGGTTAAGCTTTGGATTTTGAAAGATCACCTCAATTTTACTTTTATCATTTCCATTAGAAAGGACAAAAGAAAAACTTGTAAATTTATTTTTTATTGTTGGGTTCTATACTTTCCTCGGCAATTATGTGTCTCCTGGAAGGATTCTCTCTTAGCTAAGTGAATGATAACATGGCATTTTGTCTCTTTTTAACATTCCAAATTAAGTGAAAATGTTAATCGCGCGTTTCTCTAAAAAGAAAAAAAATAGTAATAATGTTATTGAACCCCTGTTTTACTCTACTCACAGACTGCAGTCATGTAAATATTTTTGTGGAAGCATTTGTATTTAAGACAGTGATGTAAAATTTGTTAATTCTGTTAATCTTTTAATAAGTAATTGGAAGGTGTTTTATTTTATTTGTTTAATGTTCTTTCTTTATTAGCTCAATTGTAAAAAAAAAAAATAAGAAAAAGGTAGAAAAAAAACTCAATTATGTGACGTATTTCATCGTTAAGCACTGGCAGGTCAATTTGCCATATCGGCAGTGTAAATCCGCCATCACAATCTCAGTTTGCAATGTTGCAGACTTCCTGTCATCTTCTATTTTTTAAATGGAAAACTACTCAACGGCCATTCTTAAGAACTGCCGTAATTTTTCTTCCTAATGTAAAGAACATTCCATGGAAACTTAAAGGAATGATGTCGATTCGTTCTCTTTCAGGAAAATAAAATAGAAGCGGAGATTTTCAAACACCGCAAATGAGATGTGTGGTTGCGGACTTACAGTGTCGATATGCTTTGATCTGACTATATGTTTACTTATTCTCGCCAAGGAAACTAGTTAAATTTTAATTTTTGGCCATTAATTGCTCTTAAAATCAACTGTAAATGATTCAAACATTTAAACGAAAAATTACGCTGAGAGAATTACGAAGTTGTAACTTAATGTCTCTTTAATGTGTTGACCTCTATGTCAGTCCTTTAGACCATTAGGTAAAGTGTCATCTAGGTGTCTCTGTTTTCTTCTAATTTTCGAAAATTTAAGCACAGAAACGAATAGAAAAATAGGTAGCTCTGTGGAATGCTTGCCTGTGCAAGGCGCCTTGTACAATGATCATCAACGCAAAGTCTGACATCATACAAAGTTAGCTTGGTTAGTTTGCAGGAAGTGTTACCAGAAACTTTTGGTAGTGAACAATGTACTACCTTTCTGATTTCGTATGTTGAGGAAGTGTGGCCAGATAGTGATCATGTAATTGGCATTTTCAAAAATTGCTTATTATTGTTTCTCAGACTGTGGACACCAAACTTTACTTCCACTTACTTTAAAATAAGTATCCTCTTATCGTAATTATATGTTCATTCAACTGACACTTCATTTGTCTTGATATCTATTTTTAAAGCTAGATTTGTTTCATGTTTAGCTCTAAATACTTTATTTTAAATGTTAAACTTCGAAGATTTATTATTAATTTTTCTGAATTAATTTCAGTCCTGTTTGTGCAATATAAAATATTTACTCTCTCGCTAGTTTAATGAAACTTTCCCTCAAAATGATGTTGATTCTCATTAATCGGAAGGTGTCAAAGTATTTACTTATACTTAATTAAAACTCTGTGAAAAATCACTCTATCTCTTTTTTCTTTTTACTGCGCTCCTGTTTAAGACCCTGCTTTCTTCTTTATCCCACTATCAGCTTGTCGGTCACCAATCTCAAAAGAGAAAATAGATAAAGTTCTTAATCGTAAACAAGATGAAAGAGGGTCGAAAGGGATGGTTTTCAGCACCCTTATTTTTAGGTGACAACTAAACGTTTATTATCTTAAAAGAACTGTTTTGCTGTAGATGCCATTGGAAACTATCCCAACAAATTTAGAGTTTTAACATTTTTTATAGACAGCAATTGACTGGAATATTACTGGATGAATTTTATTTGTTTTCACCAGAAATGGCTCGTGCTACATGTGTTTTTCAATGGATTGATATGCCTGTGATTGGTTGTTTTGCCAATCCAAACATGCCTGTTAAAACTGGAAAGCATGTTACATCAAAGAATGCTATCTGCATCCCTCATGAGACCTCAACTCCACAACAACATAACCGAGGCTCATGCTGTATTGCGGATACACAATATTTGTTCTGCTCTCTTAAATAATCCTTTAGCACATATCCATACAATAATACGAAGAAAATTAGATATATCTTATCATCGTTTTTGGAGAATGAAGACTTTAAGCACAACAGACTCCTGGACAAACTTACTTTTCCTTCAGATACCTCACGGAAAAAAAGAAGTTGCTGAAGTAACATTTCGAATGTTGAAAATCTTTGCGGCAACTCTTGAGTGTTGATCTGAACACTACGGCTGTTAATTCTACGTAGCTAGGATGTTACTTTAACAGCAGGAGTGTCCACAACAACAATCAAGAGGTGTCGCATAGATTTTTAACGTAAAATTGTTTTTGAATATTTTCATTACCATCATTATATTATAAATTGCTTCTCTTATTTGCTTAGTCAAGCGGAATGTCCTTTCTAGCAAACACAGAAAAAAAAGTTGCCTAAGTATCATCCTGGATGCTGAAAATCTTTGCGGCAACTCTTGAGTGGTGATCTGAACACTACGGATTTTTAACATCCAGGATGTTACTTTAGCAACTTTTAAAAAGGACATTCTGCTTTTGACTAAACAAGAGGAGCAATTTGTAATAAAATGCTACATAGTACCTAATGAAACACATTCGAAAAAAATTTTAGTGTTCAATACATTTTATATTCAGTAACAATGAAAAGTGTGTGCATAAGACATTTTTATTAATGGCATCAGGCTCCTTACTATGGAACATATTCTGTTCAAGAACTCGTTTCTTTCTGAAAAACTTTTTTTACGCTCAGCTCGCTCAAGACGCGTTAATTCAAACCTCGCGCCACTAGAGTTCCCATCAGTACGTCATCAACATGGCGTACAAATGGACGAATGTACCTAACCTCTTTCTAAGCAACCTTGATCCTCCTCCTTGTGTTGTGTGTGTTGTGTCCAACTTATGGACCCATTTTTTCTGCAAATAATTTTTTCTGCGGCGCTTTCAGTAAATTGTTCCGAGACTTAATTTGACTGGTTATCCCACTCCAATAATTATGTGCGTTATGTCCAATAATGTATCCATTCAGATGATAATTTCAGGAGCTCCTTCCACTCATCTGTAAGTATCAATTTTCAAAATGACCATTTGTTTATCCTCGTTCCAGGTTGTAAAGATGGTTGTAAAGCAGTCGCCTTTTCTCATTCTGACGGTTGATTGGATTCATTTCCTATTTTCTCCTGAGCAGAGTTACTTATTGCTTCAGTTACATTCAACGGCATGAGAATGTTGTTCTTGATCCGCACGGTTTTCTTGCTTTCTTAGGGTACCTCCATCACTCAGTGTTTTTACTGATAACATCATGCTAGCTCTGTCTCCGTTAGCGGTGGGACTTATCCTTCCATGCTCAGTCCCGTGGAGGACAGAGATAATCTCCTGGCTTTCCCGTGTGTATTTTTGTCACTCTTCAGCAACATGAAGGCTCTTGGTTGACCCTCAGAGTAGGGAGTGATAATGTAATACCCACCGCTAATTTTGGCACGGATCTGTGTGTCTTAAATGTGATTAGAACCTCTTCATGATGTATGATGGTCAACCTCCCAGTGTTAGGAGATTCACCACAGTGCCAGGGTCTGTTGTCATCTTTCAACAGTTGAGACTGTTCTTGTTATGTGACAGTCCATCAAAATAAATGTTGACGCAATAATGGTTAGTTTTTTAATCCATGCCCATCAGGACCATCAGCACTCAGATATTCAATAGTAGAATATCCTCAGCAAGTATTAAGATTGCTATTCATTGCCATTATGCCTCTCTGAACTCCGCATGCTTAGCCCTTATTTTAGGTTAGGTTTACTGAATAATCCAATTTATTGAACGCAGTTTTGACGACATCTCCCATCTGTAAGTGGACAGACTTAACAGAAACGCACCAAGTCCCATCTTGTTTGAATGGAGACAAAGCTTTGAAGTTTCATTCCTCCATAAGACTTAATGTTGAGGTCAAAGTCTAATGATTGTCTTCATGTCCGAAATATTTTTTCTCTTCCTTGAATTTTAAACCTGAAAGAATGTACGAGTGATTGCATTCAACACAGCTTCCAACTCATTTTTTTCTAACTGTGACCCAGTATATTTCTCCTGAAGTCTACTGAACTCACCTTGTAGTTACCAAGTGATCGGTCCTAGGACTCCCAGGGGTGCAGAAACTTCCAAGGGTTCCCCCATTTTAAGTTTTCGCAGAATTTTGCCCGACACATAAAGTAACGCGGTCGACAGTTGGGTTCCCTCAAAACAGCGCGGTCAACAGTCAAGTTCCCCCTAAACTCTTAAAAAAACTTCCAAGGTCCCCCCAATTATTTTGTCCTCACATGGGTTTCCTGATTTCATGCGAATGGCCGGTCACGAGGTTGGGAAGTTTCTGCACCCCTGATCGGTCCACGCTGTTGTTCTGTTAGACTAATGCAGGAATTTCTACTAAATCATCAGATACAAGGTTAATTGTTGGTTTAGTTCTGGCAGTTTTTTTTATGTGTACTCCCATCGATTTATGACACCTCATGTAATAATTGATTGCTGTGAGTCAAACCCTATTCGTCCTTTTTATCCAATCCTCATCCATTTCATTGATTAAAACAAAATGTATTATTAAAGGGATTATGAGTGCCATAAACTGCATAAATCAAGATCAACCAAAACTTGTGATAGGTGATACAACTTTTTATTCTTGTGGTTTTTGTGAATTTGTATGTTCTAATTTTCAGGGATACCTACCTGTTGTGAACAGCCAGACAATGAAGGTTGTTGCCTTGATCAGTGGTGGCAAGGACAGCTGCTACAGCATGCTACAATGCGTGGCTGCTGGACATGAAATTGTTGCTTTAGCAAACTTATGTCCAGAAACTAAAGGTACGGACTAAATTAATTATCTTAGCCACAGCGTTAACGTTTGATGGTATGAAAGGAATTGAATGGAAGAGTGATGTGTGTAACTATACATTGAGTACAATATTTGTAACTGGAGGAGATTTTTCTCAACTGTTCGCAAATAAATGGAGGAAGTATTGCCACAGAAGTTCTGCCACAGAAGTATTGCACATTATTAGACGGAAATGAAGACGCACTAACTCCAGAAATCGACTGGTATTGTTTTCCTTCATGTAAAGTCCTACAGATCCTATGATAAGCAGCTCCTGTTTGATCAATTTCTGTGGAAATTTGTCTGTTCTTGGGTTTGTGGAATTATGAAAAGAGTTGAAATTCAAGTTTCCTGTCAAAACATGCCATCTTGAACCAATTTCCACAAAAATTGATCGAGCAGGAGCTGCTTATCATAGGATCTGTAAGACTTTACATGAAGGAAAACAATACCAGTCAATTTCTGGAGTTAGTGCGTCTTCATTTCCGTCTAATAAGGTGCAATACTTCTGTGGCAGAATATTTGCGCAGAGCGCCTTCAAGAGTATTGTTTGGACTTGATGGCGGAACATCAAGATTTCCGCTGAAATTCGCTAATAAGAGGGAAGACGAGTCAAATTTCTGAAAAAGTGCGTCAAGTAATTTATGAACACTATCTCAGAAAATGTTGCCTGTTAGTTTTAGAAGTTATCTTCAAACACATGTCTCAATTTTTTTATAGTAGTTGTATAGTTAATTATGATTGTCTTACGTGCAGATGAGCTGGATAGCTACATGTATCAGACTGTTGGCCATCAAGGTGTTGAATTATACGCTGAAGCTATGGGATTGCCACTATTTCGCAAGCCAACTCAAGGAATAGCCTTGTTGCATGACAAAGTTTACACACCAACTCCTCAAGATGAGGTTGAAGATCTTTTTCAGCTACTGGAGAAAGTGAAGGTAAGTAAGTGAAAACCAATTAACAGTAATGGGCTAAGTACCAATAGATAAAAGATTGAGTTAGGCAAGGCATTTTGTTCCAAGTACCAAGGACAACATTATGCATTACAGGCTAAAAGCTGCCAGCAATGAAATAGTGTGTTTAATGTTCAAAAGGTAACGTTATTAATATATTTCATAGCAGTCTTTAGGAATATAAATGTAAGTAATTTGAAAGCTTATTTTTAGCTCTGAGCCTGTTATCAACAACAAGTCTTCAATTTTCAAATTTTTAAAGTCGTGAATAGTGTCATGTCTTGGGTCATATCCATGACTGCGTTTTAATGCTGTCTTGGATTTTGCAGAATGTTAAGTTGGTTTCATTGCCAAGTGTGATCTGCTGATGAGGTCTAAAAAGGCCCAAACCGGTATAGATCTCTCAGCGTGACTCCAACTTAAGTAATATTCCAATGCAAACTACCTGAGCTGAACACTCTCCCCCCTCAGTTTCGCACTGGTTACGCATTAGAGTTCAAAAAATTTAATTTTGACTCTAATTATAATTTTTGGAACTTCTTGACTTTGTTTTCCCCGCAAAATGGTGTGGACTCAGCACCATTTCTCCACCTTGTTGTGAATAGATTTGTAAGTAATTATCAATCCTTTTATTATTTTGGAGGTTTGATAATTAGACCAAGAGTCCCTTCAAACAATCAAAACTGCTGCAGTTTGAATCATATTGTGCTCGGAGTCTGAACCATCATAATTCTATAAAGGAATGGTCAATTTGCGCAAACCTGTTCTCTATGTTATTTTTGTGCTTGTGGGAGATGCTTTTGACATGGTGCCTTCATTAATTTTATTCCTCTTTTTTTTACTTATTGCAGAAAGAAATATCAGTTGAAGCCGTAGCTAGTGGGGCAGTTCTCTCGGACTATCAGAGGCTTCGAGTTGAAAATGTGTAAGTTTTCTAAAGCCTAGACTCATTCCTGGATCTTTGCACCTATCCTACCCAAATTCCTTGTAGTTGCAATAGTTCAGAGTATGAAGTTCAAAAACCGTAGTTTTGAGACAGAACTTTGTCAAGTCTTTATCTGCTTTGCTTGCAGCTCAAAATTGTCCTGTGAAATGTTATTCATATCTGCTCATGGTTCTTATTTTTTGAAATCATCACTTTCAATTAGCATTGCTATAATTGTAGGTCGTTTGCCAAGCAAACGATTTTCTTAATGAGGACTGAAAATTTTTCCATTAGCCTCTAACCTCATACTTTTTTGCACAAAATGAACCTGATAGGTCATACTGAAGTGCCACGTTTCTGTTTTTGATATTTGTTCACATCCTGATAACGATACGTCCGGTTTTTTTTTTCAGTTGTTCTCGTTTGGGATTGGTCTCTCTTGCATACCTGTGGAGGCGAGACCAAAGCGAACTATTGCAAGAAATGATCGATTGCAACGTAAAGGCTATCATCATAAAAGTTGCTGCTCTAGGGCTTGATCCAGTGAAACATTTAGGCATGCAGCTTGGAGAAATTCAACCACACTTGCTAAAAATGGTATGTGACATAGCTCAGGCATCTCTAAGTTAGATTGTTTTTGTAGAAAAAATGACTTCAGTCTTGGTTGTTGAAATTTACTTCGGTGCTGTTAGAGCCATTTTTGGTGGCAACTTTCATCTGAAGAATCCATTGCATGTATTGTAGGAGGCAATTTAAAATATTGCAATTAAATCTCTTCCATGACACAATAGTTATACATCTGAACTGTGCTGACTCTTTGACTAGTTGTGGGCATGGTTGGTGCAGTGACAGGAAAAAGATTTATTTGATCTGCAAAGCCTTGACACCATTCTTGGTTCAGGCGTCTGGATAGTCTCCGATTGCACATCTGGTCGATTAAGACCAAATTGTCAACAAGTCCCAAAAATTGTTAGCATTGACAAGTAGTTTTCCCTTTAGCGAACAACAGAATTTGACGATCTATGGAAATATCCGTATTAAAATTCCGAATAAAATAAAAAGTTTGACACAATTTCAATCAGCACGTTGCGCTAACCTTTTTGCAAAAACCCACTGGATTTCAGAGAATTGCAGAGGCCTAGAACTATTTCACCCCTGCTTTGGCTATTACTTCAATTTTAAGGTTCCAAACTCTAATGCCCACGCAATAACACCTCAATATTGCAGAAAATTTCACGCTTTGTTTGACTCTATTTTTAAAAATTAAATTCAGTAAAACGGTCTGAAAATTGATCAAAATGTCTGAGAGTGTATTCTTTACTTTGTCCCTCGAATTTTAAATTTTTTGTTTTGTTTTTGGGATCCTTTGGTTCTATGAGGCTTTCATCTGTCTCTGAGTTTTTATAAACCATTTTTATCCTTTTATTTTTCAGAAAGAGAAGTATGGCTTGAATGTTTGTGGTGAAGGAGGAGAATATGAAACTTTTACTTTAGATTGCCCATTGTTCACAAAATCAGTGGTCATGTAAGTTCCAATTTAGTTTTTCAGCATTTGATATTGCTTCTTTGTATTATTCAGTGACTGGTTTAAGGAATTGATTACGCAGCCTAAACAATAATGAGTTTTAATATGTTCATTATATTTTGTGCATTAGGGTGGGTTAAAAGAGATTTTTTTTTCTCGGAATCGTTTGCGGCTGAAGGAGGTATTCTTTTAGGGTTACAATGATGAGCCCTCGTCAAAATCACTTAAAAAAGCAAGCCCTACTGGCACGCTTAAAATCTTAATTGTCTATCTTGTTATCGAGTATTTTGTTTTAAGTGTCCACAAAGTAATTTATCAGCAAGTCTTTTGTGCAATGCAAATGAATTTAGTAATTGAGCACAAAAATTGTAGGTAAACTAAAAAAAAAAAAGATTAATGAAAAAAAAAAAAGAAAATCTGTAGAGCATTACTCTTGAAAAAGAATAGACTCCCCCAGAAATCTTCAGAGATTCTATCTATAATAATACTTTTTTATAATTATTTATTATTATCATTATTATTGTTGTTATAATTGCAGCGATGACTATGAAACTGTGATACATTCTAATGATGCCATAGCCCCTGTGGGATATCTAAATTTTAAACAGATGCGCCTGGTCAACAAACCTGTAAGTTTACAATTTTCTCTCTACTGTTTCTATAAGTATATTTGCTATCTTAGTTTTTTTTCACCCCCTCCCCTTCCTATGTAGAGTTTATGTATATATTCCATTGAGGAGAAGTAAAAGGTTTTGGGTAAAGTTGTAAAAACTCTAACAATAGCTAATCGTATTAGGATTCTTGAGCCAATGAAGTCAAAGGTGTGGGAGTTTTCAGATCAGAGGGCTTATGTGTGCACCCATACACACACATGATTGCACTATTTTTATTGAGTCTGAGCCAACTCAAATGCACCCTCGCAGTTGAGACTGAAAGTCTCCTCACCGGCGAGGGCAAACTCATTTGGATTCATTGAGTGCTGGCTCAATCAGACTATCAGACCCACAGAAGAAAGATTAGCTGAACCAGTTATCCGGCAAGCTCAGCTCTGCAAAGGGTCAGCGTCAGCCATAGAATTGCCCAAATTCATCTTGGAAATGAATGTAGAAAGTGGATTTTTTCAGGAAGAAGCTGTGTCTCTAGTTGGGATGCGATGCTTTTAGTTAAAAATCTCGGCACTTAATTCAGAGTGAATTTCTTACCGGAGCCTACATTCCTTCCAAAGAACCGAACTAATTAGGAAGCAAAACAGAATCCTCTCTTTTTGCAGAGTGAACTCTCTTCTAACGGAGTAAAATCAACTCTTTTTGTGGAGTTATTTCTGCTCTTAATCAGAAAATTTCTCTATTCATTTGCATTAAGTAATAGGATTTCTTGGATGCTATATAGCTTGCGGAGTGAAATGCACTTAAGATTCTTCCTCAAGATTTATAACAGTGTGCACTGCAAGAAAATGGAGCCCTGTTTACTCGTACAGACCTTTTGCCTCAAAACCCCTCATTGTTGACAAAGAACCTCAAACAAGATGGCTCAATACCTGGTAGGACCTCCTGTTGGGACCTGGGATAGATAACACTTGTTCAAACCTGATCTTTCGATATCGCGCCTCTTTATAGCTAAATTAGTGACCTTGACTGGTATGAGCTTGAGTTTGAAGCTGTAAAGACTCAGCTTTTGAAATGGTTAAAATCCTGTGTATTTTACTGATCTATTGATCTTCTTTGGCAATTTTTTAGACTGAAAGCTCCGCAAACCTCGCTGAGAGGATATCTTTATTGCCGATCAAAGTTAAAAATGCAGAAGATTATTTGAGCGACCTTGAAGTTGAAACCATTGATTATTACAATGAGGATGAAGTTGACCAACATATTGGAGAAGATAGTAAGGTATGTATTTTAACACCAAATAGGTATAAGTTAAGTATTACCTTTATTTTACAGAAGACAATTATTTTGTATCGTTCCTGAAAGAATTTTGATTTTTCTTAAAACTCTCTCTGTCCAGAGCATCTTTATAAAAATTTCGCATCAGATTTCATCCATTCATTGTTATCTCTCAACCTGCGAGCAGTTTTTTTTGTCTTTCTTGAAGTCAGGTTTTTGACATGTTTCTTTCCATCTTATCACACATGATAAAAATTTTCATTTTTTTATTTAAGGATGTTGGAAGGAGTCCCAGCATGAAACAAATTGATTCTGTTTGTAATCCTGTGAAACTGGTAGATGATCCCTCAGTTTTTGGTAACAGCAGTGGATGGACATGGTTTAGTAATATTGTCGGCACTCATGAAGATATCGGTACTGCAACCAAGATTGCATTAGATAAACTATGTGGTAAGTATCTATTGTAAATTTTCCTCTGCCTTACAATTTACCAATTTTTCAAAATTTATTTTACACAGAACTGTTGGGACTTCATAATACATGAATATAATTTTTGTTAAAGAAACTGTAGTCCCTTTAGACATCTCTAAGCCTGTTCAGTATTAGGCGCCAAAGTAGCCTTAGATTTCTTTCATTATCGTATCAAAGATGCAAAGTGGGTCTCATATCAATGGTGAAACTGCAAAATTGCGTATCTGGGTTGAAATGTTTCAAATTCTCTGTTCCTGCTCTATTTTGTAGAAATATTTTCTATTTTCGCAATTTCGCAGAATATTCTCCTTATAGAGTAGAAAAATCACCGAAATGTTCAAGAAATGACGTTCATTATTTTTCCATCCGGAGAACAAGGTATAACAGGAACTCTGCAATGGTGTAATTCAAGATAAGCATTTATGCCGTTTCACCATTGATATACCCCTTTCACCTGTGATGATTTTCATCAAATAGCAGCACTACACTTTCAGTTTGCATTGGTCTGTATTCATACTTGGCCAAGTATCACATCCTCAGATGAAGTGAACAGATCACTTGTGATCATTCTTTCATGTGATTGCCGAAGAATGTTTGTTTATCTTTTTCCTAATAATTGATTTTTTGTATTCATATTTTCAAGTAACTTGTATATCTCTGGAAACTTTATTTCTGGCATCTTGAAATAACTAGTCAGTACATGAAAAAAGAGACTAGCATTAGATTGAAGGCAGATGGTGATTGTAATTTTGAAAATGCCATTTGCTCTTATTTCGACTATCACAGAGAGGTCTCCCACCTATGCTCCTCCCACAAAATATTCCTTGTCTTCTTTCAGATGTAATGAAGTGATAATAGTGCAGATCGTCTGGCTACATTTTGTTGCATGAAGATTTAAACCTGTAATTTACTTCCTTTCTCGCTCATTTTTTTTTTTTTTTTTTTGCATCAAGTATTGTCACCAACATCTAACCTATGCTTTCTTGTTTTCTTATTTTCAGCCTTACTCAATGACCGTCTTCTGTGCCCCTCAGATTTAGTGGCTATTACGCTATATGTACGCGAAATGAGTGAATATGCCAATATCAATAAAGCATACTTAGATATTCTAAATCATCCAAATCCACCAGTAAGGATATGTGTTGAAATGTTATTCGCCAAGGAAACTCCGATTCTGATAGAAGCACTGGCTTATAAACTACCCGAAGGCAGTCAGACCCCCAAGAGACATACAATGCATGTTCAGAGTATTTCTCATTGGGCGCCTGCAAATATTGGACCATATAGTCAAGCAGTCAGGGTAAGATTTCACGCTATCAAACATCGCAATCAAGTTTGATGCCCTCAAAAAGTAGTTTAAAAAATAAGTTTGACTTTTAAATTTCCTAAATTGAAAATTTCCTCACAAATCTTGGTACGGCAAATCTGTTTCCAGGCAACTTTTTACGAAAAAAGGCCAGAGGTGTGAAACACTTTGAAAGTCTATGGTACATACTCTGCAAATTATAGTTGAGCAGTGCATTTTAAACTTCCTATGTGCTCAAGGAGAATTTATCCACATAGAGTTAAGTGAACCACAGTAAGACTTTGATATAACAGACGTCAATATAACGAATTCTTTGAATTAACAAATTTTTTTCGCAGTCCCGAAAAAATCCGTATCTCTTCAATGCAAAATAAATTCTATGTAACAAATTTCGGTATAACGAATATTCGCTTTTACGAAGGAAATCTTTGGTCCGAGTAGGAACTTTACTATGTAAATCGAACTCAATTTAAGGAATGCACGGGAATTTCCGCGCGTCCGGCAACACCACTACAGAGAAAGCATGCTTGACTTCACCTGCGTATTGCACGGCTGTGTCGGTGCAAAGGTCATTTTCTGATGCGACAGGATTGGGAAATTCCGAGGCGCACATGTTTCCTCAAGTAAGCAGGGTGATTGCTATGTGGACAGTGTCATCAGTACGATTTCAACCCCTGCCGTGTGCTTCCCTTTACCGCTGCGCAGTTTTACTGATCAAGTGCAAACCGGGTGTTTCCCGCCGATTTTCCGTAAAATATTGTCATAGTTTAAGAGGGGGGGGGGGGGAGTGTACACAAAACTGGAAAAAACTGAACATTTCAACGAATACAATTTGTGGCCTAAAATCGGGTTTTCCGCAGTTCTCAATTTAATGAATTTTTTTGCCAGTCCCCAGAAATTCGTTCTATCGAAGTTTTACTGTAGCTAAATTTGTGTCATTTACTCATTTAATGAGCTTCTCTATTGAAGTTTTACTGTAGCTTTATTTGTGTCATTTACTCATTTAATTAGCTTCTCTATATTTTAAGATCTTAAATCAACTTTTCAAATGACCGCACTTTTTTTAAACCATTCGATTTTTTCTGCAGGTTAAAGATACCATGTATATAGCAGGACAGATTGCACTTGTACCAGGTACAATGGTGCTAATTGATGGTGGAATTAGGCGGCAAGCCCGTTTAGCTTTAAGGCATGTTGGACGGCTCATTCAAGCAATGGATCCTGAGTCTCGATTGCGAGATGTCGTACAGGTCAGCATTTGCATTTTTCTCAATTCACCTATCTGTTTTTGCATGATAATTCTCCCTTTTGAAAAGTAAATGCACACATGTGCTGAGTCATGCATAACGCACGGATTTTTTTATTTTGTATGAATATGTTTTTTATGGGAGTAACAGAGAAGCATGCCCAAACGACAGTCAAAAAGCATGTGGGTTTACCAAATCCATTCATTTATAACTCTTTATTAGCTATAGAGTCCAAGCAAAATAATTTTTTGCACTTTTAAGTGTAACATATGATCAACTGTCTTCGGTTAAGCATTGATGGTTAATACCAGAATCAACATGACAGATCTTCTGTCGCAATCTGAAAGTGCAATAAGTTACTTGGCGCGGGCTCTGCAGCTAATGAACAGGTGAAAGTGATCAAAGTTGATGAAAGTAAGAATGGTGGCATTGGTAAAACGTGAAGAAATATGAGGAACTCAAATACTTAGAAGCTAACCAATTTGAATTTAAGCCTTCCTTCAACATAGAAAGTATGTAAGTAAAATTCTGAAAAATCGAATAGTTGGTGATTTTTAAGAAAACTTATTTCAAAGTGCTTTATACAAATATATTGCTGAGTTTTTAGCTCCTTTACACCAGTTTAAATTTCTTGGCAGACTCCATACTTAACGTGATGTTTAAACCTTAAATTTATTTTCTTCAGAGAAAAAAAAAAAATTCACCAACCTTTTTAATTTATCGGTGGCTTCAATTAAAATTCACTACAGGAGGCACTGATGCTCATATTATCAAACCTTTTTTGCATTTATGTGAACTGTGACTTTAATTTTTTTTCACATCAATAATTTTATTCGGCAGGGTGTCTGTTATGTCACTAATGTGGCACATATTCTCGCAGCCAAAGTTGAATGGGAAAGGAAAACCAACAACGCCATAATCGATTATGTTGTTGTTCAACGGTTACCTCGAGATGCCAGCGTCGAGTGGCACTTATGGGCTCATCGAGGCAATTCCAGATTTGATTGTACGTCAACATCCAACTATTCATCATTCATTTTGAGAATCAAGTTTTTAAAGTTGGGATTTTTGGTTGAGTTATCGAAGTTGTTTAAAGTTGTGCAATATTTTATTTCCCTCATAGAGCTTACCCTTGCTCATCTCATAGATATTGATAATTAAACTGACTGATATTGAAATAGAAGCTATAGAATAATAGAATCAGAGGTCTTTCCATTAAGAAGTACCTTGAATTAATACATTTTTTTAAAGAAGAAGCCCTTAGAATTTGCAACATGTTAAAGTATTGCACTTGAGGTGTGCAATGCACTGCAGAAGTCAGCGACTGAATGCTTACACTATGTCCGAAGGAAATCAAACAGACCTCGTAAAATCTTGCAGAGCCGTCAACTTCGTGTTCTGTTCAAGTCTCCTTGTTTTTTTCCCTATTAATTATGCTTCTTTTGTTTTTCAGATGAAGAAACCGGTTGTTGCATAAATGATTACCGAATATCCATTCGGCGACGATGGAATTATGAAAATACTGTCGCAACTGTAGTTTGTTACGTCTCTACTGGTAATATTTTGCTCTGTTTTATCTTGTTTTCAATTTCAGAAAACATTAGCTTCCCTTCTTTTCAGCAATGGGTCAGTTGCGCTGGTCACAAAATCGTGTTTTGATGTTTGATTCTTGTAGATTAGCTAATAATAAGATCTGTCCAAACAGCAACTTTCTATGTTCGGTTTTAGCCGAGATATCGCCCTTTGAAAAGTGGAGGTTTTGACGTCATCCACCGCGGTAATGACACAATTCGTTTCTTCCACCTTGATTTCATCCTAGTTTTACGTTCTCAACCAGTGCGAATGTGCATCATACTGACTGATGAAAGCAAGGTTGAAGAAACCAAGGGTGTCACTACCGCGGTGGATGACATTAAAAACCTGACTTTTCAAAAGACAATATCTTGGTTAATATTGAACGTCGAAAGTTGCGGTTTGGACAGATCTTATTACTCTTCGCTAATCTACAAGAATTAAGCATCAAAACACGATTCAGTGACCAGCGCAACTGACCCATTTGGGTGAGGAAATGGACCATTAGACAAGGTGCGAATTATAGCATAATAATCTTTGTTTTCTCATCTAAATTTTATGCAGAATACGATTTGTGCAATGTAACTTATTGAAAGTAAATCTTAACCAAGATATTAAAATTTTCCATGCATAAATTCAAATTTCTCATTCATAGAAAGAATGAGTATCTATTTGTGTTTAATTGCACACTAAACGTTCTTGTAACAGTCTCTGCAGTATGAAAATATGATATTCTCAATCTCAGTGCTTCAGCTCATCTGTTGCTCATTATTTGGACTGCATTTTGTAATTTGGAACTATAAATTCTGGCTCTTCTGGAAAACACTTATGTGCATAGGGAAACGAATGGCACTTACGTTGTTTTTAAACCGGGCTAGAATTTATAGTTCCAAATTGCAAAATGTAGTCCATTTACTCTTCAAACAACACAGGGTGAGGAAGGAACACTGCTAATTAAGAAGCCTATCAAAACCGCTGTAGTGTGCAATTTTTTAGTTCTTGTAGATTAGGGTTTCATAGTTCATATTCTGGCCGGTTGTTAATTTGAACCTTTTTTTTTAATGCAAATTGGGTTCCATGTGAAATTTTGAAAAGGAATCCTGTATCAGAATGCTTAAATGTTTACTTTGTCTAACGGTCCATTTGAATGAGAACATGGGTTCTTCCGTCAAGAGAGGCCATCGATAAAAAAAAGCTATTTCCTTCTTAGCATTTCATTAGTTAACTTATCTTTTTCAATCTACAGTTGTTTAGAACTAATTTGTAGCAAAGTTTGTTGATTTCGTATGGATCTGAACCTAAAATTGTGCGACTGCTTTGTAGTAAACAGTTGACCTCCATCCATATAGATTTTTCAATCTTTTATCATAATAATATAACTTTACCAGGTAAATAGTTTCTTTCTGAAAAGAACAAAATTTGGGCGACACTAATTTTTGTATATTGTAAATTATTCAATTAAAAAAGAAACATGAGATGGTCAGGTACAAAATGATTCCCTTGATTTTTCATATGATACTGCTCGTTCGGCAAAAGTCGCTCCGAAAATGTTTTAAAAATATTATTGTTGGAATTAACATCGCAGCAACAATTTCATAACTTTATTTTTTGCAAATGCCGGGTAGGTAAGGATTGAATTGTGGGGATTAGTTAATTCAATATATAAGGATGGGGTCAGTGGCATGGCGTGAATTGTGATATATCGATTGTTATGCCATTTGAACTAATCGAAAAGGATCGATAAACAGGGTGTTCGCAGCGAACCCCTTAATAATCGATTCTTTACCATAGGTTTAAATGGCATAACAACCGATATATCGCAATTCACGCCACGCCACTGGATGGGGTTCAAGGATCACTGAAAAAGAACATTTTACCTCTTGTTCACTTGATTCAGTGCACCACCTTCCATCTTTTGAAGTGTGAACCATAGACTGCTAAGTTCAGTGTTAAAATAGCTGCGCAAGGATCTTTTCCAACTCTCCAAAGCAGCTCATTGAACAAGGCACTTTCGCTGTAAAAAATGTTCGTAAATTGACATTACTTCTGTATTCAAACACTTATGTATTTTTCAGGTTCCTCAGTTTCAAATCCTGGCGTCAGTAAGTCATCAACGTCAGAGTCAAATTTACTGCCAATATCTGAAGAGGATTTGGAGAAAATAATTCGTTACGCTATTGGCAAGTTACTTCAAGGAGATCAGACTCCCACTGATTCCGTACTGAGTCTTCGTATTTTTTATAGGATAGACAAGTCACTTGAGCTGGCTCAAATACTTGAAGTGGTCTCTCAAATCAAGGAGTTTAAAATCTCTTCATCTGTGATACCTGTTTGCCATTTACATCATCCTAATACTTTTCTGTCCATCATTGTGATTAAGCACGATTGAATCGTCCCCATGAATTTTGTTGAGCATCCTAATTAATGCTCAGACCTACTCTATTCAAGAAGTACAGACGAGTGCTTCTGTTGTTGATGTGTTTTGTCTACAACTGTTTTGAATGAAACGATACTGAATTATTGTTAAATTGTAAATTGTTATCCTTATCTGTTCGAGTATTTTATTATTCGAGCACTCAACTGTCCGAAGAGTTTCTTCTGCTTAGAAGTTTTCAGGACTACTATTTTAAGCTTAAGTCTTCAGACATTTCTGTGATAGTTATAGTAACGACTTAATGTAATGCTATTGTTTTGTTAGTTTCAATGCGAGGAACAAACATATTGCAAACATTTTTAAGCATAAGAAAATACGTAAAAGAAAGTCCAAAATAAAAAGAAATCTGGTCATTAGGATTTAGGGTTATTATTAATGAATTAATATGGATCAATTGATTGAATGATACAGTTGTTATGCTGATAAACTGAAGTTTAGTATCTATAGGCTTGACGTTTTCGTCAGAAATCCTAGGATTTGACCAACATCTTATTTTTACTTTTACTTAAATATGAAGGGATTTTTGAATTCGTTGTTACTTTTGTGAAAATAATTGTGAAACAACGGTAACTTTAAGCCGAAGTAAATATAGATGAACGTTCAGCCAGAAAGGATCTTAGTTCAGCTCTGAGTGAGCCTCATATATTGTGCATTTCGATAAGATAGGCAGCTCTTAAGTAAATGTAAGTGGAACCTTTTTTGCATATTTTTATCCAATTAATGTTGAAATAATACAGATTGTTACAGCATGACAGATTACCCGTAATAACAGCAGCTCTTTCTAAGTTCCTCTAAATGTATGCAAAATTTTGACTTTATGAATCAGCAAAAACTGCTCATTTAGAAGCTAATTCTAAATGATGAATTTATTTTGAGCTTTTGTATGGTCATTCATGGTTTTCTTCACACAACTCATACAGGCACTAAGATGAAATTCTTAAACTTTATTTGAAATTCTCAATTTTATCATCTCTCTCTTTTTTAAGTCCATTCATAGGGTGTCCTACAGGTCTGGAAAACCACAGATTATATCAGGCGAGGGAAAAGTCAGGGGATTTTATGAATAAGACTGGCATTTTGAAAAATCTGGTATCATGTGGAATAACACCTGTGTTGTCCACACAACTAGACTGATTGTGAGTCTCAATCTGGTTCGGTACTCAATGCTCTGTAGAGGAATAATTTTCAACAAGAAATTGCAATTTTAGTTACCTAATTGAATGATGAACAACTGAAGAAAAGATTCTCACATGTGTTTGTCATCCGTCACAAAGTTAATTCCAAAATTTTTTTAATTTTCAGTTCTACACTTTTAAAATTATCAATGTGAAAAATCAAGAGAATTTTGACTGTTTTGAGCAGAGAAAACCTGGAAAAGTCAGAGAATATGTATGATACTCTGCACTAAATTATTTGAAGCTCGATTGCATGGTTATGTAAGTTAGTTCCTTTTGGTTGTAGTTGATCTACTCATAGGCTTGAACACCTCTGCACATCTAGCTACCACTGCTGTGTGACGTTCCTCATTGCCTTGTGCAGTGTCTCACCAACCATGAATTTTCCATGTACCTTCAATTCTTACTTTAAACTAATTTTACAACCAGGCAGCGAGAAAAAAAAGGGGGGGGAATACCAAATAAGTAATTAATTTCCTTGCTTTATCCGTGAATGAACTGCTATTCTTACCTTAGCTACCACTTTATACATTTAAATAGGAGAATTTCAATTTTAAGACCAGGAGTAATCTATCAAACTTCCTTGTCTGAATCAAAGACCGTCTGACAATATGGTTTTGGACTAAGTCAGGAACCGGCAGACTGGAAATCTAAATGGAAAGTCCTTTGTTTTTTGTCTATTCATTTAATAATGCCCTCTCTTTCCCTTTCAGGGAAGAAGTGTTTAATTTCCGATCACCAATTTTGCTAGGTACATATAACGAGGATAATCAAAAAGGAGCTTCATTTATTTACTCTTTTGAAGCAATGAATTACATGAAATCATGTAATTCATCATTTCTTAAAATGAATGAAAAAACGGTAAGGTAAAAAAACTACCCATTGCCGGTGAAACTGCAGGAAGGCTTACCTTGGTTAGCGACGTTGCAGAATGCTTGTCATACTTTTTATTTTTTAAATGTAAAAATACCAGTGTTTTCTCCCATAAAATGAAATGGAAGTGGAGATTTTGAAACAATGTATACAAGATATGTATTCCTGCAGTTCCACTGTTGTCATGCTTTTTCACCTCACCTTTTTGTTTTTGTTTTGTTTCTTCTGATCTGTGTACCTACTCTAAATTCATAAACATACTGATTATTGTCAAACGGAAAAATGTTCAATTAGAAAACTTCCCTTTAGTTTATATTAGACATGGAATATATACATTTAATTTTTTCAAAAACAATTGATAACAGAGAGGGTGCATTTTCATTGTAAGAAAATCAGGGTTTTCAGCTGTTGAAAAAAAAGTAATTAAATTTTGATTTTCGAGACACCACTTGTTATTGAGTATGTCATTTTATTGTGGTCCTGGAATATTTTTATCTGTGACTCATATCTGGATTGCATTTAGTTGAAGGGACGAACCAGCGTGATTGCAGAAGATGTATGATTTTTCCAATACTGTAATCTCACTGGTTCCCTTCTGCTAAATGCGATCCAATTTTCCTGTGGAGGAATTTTGTCCAGTTGACCTCTTTTCTCACCTCATTGCCGTTAACCTCTTCATAAAAGAGGGAAACAAAACTTAAAATAATTTTGCCCTCCTCTAAACTTTGCTGCCTCCAGACAACTGTCCCAGTTGCCCGTACCATTAATCCGAGTATGAGTTAATTTTTTCACAAAGTAATCAGAATATTAGGGAGTCTCAATCAGATGTACAATAGTCGACTATTCAGAAGTACCTATCAAAAGGGAATTGAAACACCTCTTCCACCGATAGTACTTTTGCTTTAGTTACGTATCCCTTTTGGTTTTGAAGGAAACCTCTTTATAGTCTCCAGCGAATTGCTGTGAAAAATATTTGGGTGATCTTATGATAACAGAAATAGTTGCCACTTAAGTGCCACCAATTTAGTTTCCATCGTTTTCAAAGATTTAGAACCAAATAATTAAAAAAGAATGCAATTTACAATTGGACTGCATTTTGCAATTTGGAAATATAAATCCTGGCTCATCTGAAAAAACACGTATGTGCATAGGGAAACTAATGGCACATACGTTGTTTTTAAACCGGGCCAGAAGTTATAGTTCCAAATTGCAAAATGTAGTCCAATTATCATTGGAAATTGTTCTTTTTTTTTGGTGTCGTAAAGATTATGAAAGTATGAACTCGCTGCTACTGAGGCTTTTAGATTATAAATTGTCATATTAACTGTGTAGACAATCAACTGTCCGGTAACCAGCATGACTTTTTTTGGTCTCTAAATCTCTCAAATATTAGTCAAAACAATTTCTTAAATTTTTTTGCAAGACTGCAGGCCTATAAATAAGAACTACATTTCAAACTTTAATTCTGTTCTATGTTGCTTAATTTGTTCCATGTAGGTACCTGAACACATTGAAAACCGAACTGGTGACACTGCTTTTCCTGTCATCATGAAATAACTCATGTACTTACTTTGAAAACAGGTTGAATTACATAACAACCTTAAATAAACGCACCAAAATATCCTATCTTCTTGAAGTATGTGTAGCATCATAGATGCGATAGTCAATCACATGTTTCTGGAGATTCGAGCTTCGCACTGTCATTATCACATCAAGACTCAAGATGTATATCGACGGTGAAACTCCCTATCCGCGTGCCTCGGTTTGTGACGTTGCAGACATCCTGTCATACCTTATTCTTTATATGATATGAAAAACTACTCAGCGTTGATTCTTAAAAACTTCCTTGATTTTTCCTCTCTCTCCGAAGCAAATTCTAAAGAAATTTCTAGGAATGATGTTGATTTGTTCTTCCATACAAAAATAAAATAGGATTTGAGATTTTTAATCACTATAAACGTGATACGTGGTTTGGGAGTTTCACCGTCGACATACAGGGTTATTCAAAAGTCACGCACCACTGGCCATAACTTTAAGTTCTAATTTAGATATCGACTTCAGTCTAAAAAGTTTTTCCTCATATTGAGGGGAAAATTTTTTAAGGTACTTTCCAGTTTTTTTAATCTCCTCGGGGGAGGAGGGCGGGGGGCAACTCAAAAATTTTAAATGGCCACCCCGGTCATGGCCAGTGGTGCGTGACTCTTGAATAACCCTGGTTACAAAGTGCCTTATTGTTGGAACCATCCCATTTAGGTTTATCTTGCGGCGTCACCTCTTCCAATTTCCCTTTAGTTTTGCAAAAATGTTAGTTTTTGGACCAGAAACGTCTCGTGAAATGGGTTACTTTACAAGTCTCCGGCCACATTTGATTTCCGGTACAGTACTTATCTTCTATCTCTATCGACGGTGAAATTCTCTATCCCAAACATTGATGTAGGTATATAACACAATATACGTCAATGATCCCAAACCATGTATCTCATTTGCGGTGTTGGAAAATCTCTGCCACTGTTTTATTTTTTTTTAAAAAGGGAAACGGGTCAACATCACTCCACACTCCTTGAGGTAAAGTGTCTGCAACTTGCAACGCCGTAAACCGAGATACACGGTTCAATTGTTTCGCCATCGAATTATATGAATTCTTTTGGTTCCTTTTTGCAAAATGCAATCCATGTATCTTTTACCAAAATTAGAATTTGCACCTATTTCTTTTTTCAATTCACTTTATGAAAGTAAATAGGGAATGAATTGACGCCCCAGATTATTTCGGATTTGTTTCAGAACTGGAAATTAGAATTCAGATTTTTGAAAAATTTCGGTTCCCGCGATGCACCATTAAGCTCTCCGATTGGCTAGTGAAAGATGAGTACCTCGAGTTAATGACTTAACCTCACTTCTGACCTTTGTTATTGTTATGCTGGTTGTTTTTGAAAGATTTGACGTAACGCGTACTTACCATAATTAATTGTTGTAATATAATTTGTTGATTATTGATTGCATTATAGTCGTCTAAAATGATTAATCTTTAACAGTTTGTGGCTTTGAGTTTTGGCATCTGCCCGGTGGCGGTTCAGATCTGTATAAAAACCTTTTGTCTGAAAGTGAAGTTTTAAGTTATTCTTTGCAAGTTTTTAATCCCAGCACCTCTCATTGCAAATCCGTTAATTTTAATTTCAAGTTTTCGATTCTCCGTTCGGCATGGCTCCCGCGAGGAAACAGCCGGGCTCATTACATATTTATGCAACATTTTTTGTTATGCTGGGCACGATTCATTATATGTGGTATCAACTGAACCGAGCAAACGGTCATGACCCAGGGGTGCCTCCAATTGATGCTGCAGTTTTTTTCTACAACAGATGGTTCAAGTCAGAAGATCCACCGAAACAACCAAAACCACTCAAAGAACAATGATATGCTGATGTCTCTGAAGGTAGGAAGCAAGAATGTCCACCATCTCTTTCAACATTTGCGATTCACAGTTATCTACACTTGTGAACAGATATATCTATCCTCTCCATGAGAAACATCAGTACCACAGTAGCTGTCAAAACTTCATTTATGTAAAAGTTGCTCATGCTACCATTGGTGAGTTTTATATTTTCTAGTCATTTAGTCACAGTGGCGTGCGGTCCGGATAAGCAAGGCAAGCACCGCTTGCCCAAAGATTTCAAAAGAAAGAAGAAAAGTACACCTATTACATGTTTTACATTTTATCCAATATAATTTATAAAAGGTGTTCAGTAAGTAAATTGCATCAAAAACAGAAAGAGAGAGAGAGACAGAAATATGTATAGAGCCACCAAAGTACGAAAGCGGCAGAGCGGATGGAGGTGGCGCAGCGAGCCGTGCGGCCTAAACACGGGCCTTCTCATGCGCTGGAGAATCGCTTGCGATCAGCTGAGCGGAGAGGCACTGCTCGGCGGCGGAATCAAGGCGGGCGGAGAGAACGGTACGTTCCCAGTCCGAGCCCTTCGCTGCGCGATCGCAGCTCGCTTCTCTTGGCCATCTCTTGGTCTGTCACCGCAGCGCGCTGCTTCTGCCTCCGATGCGCTATCTTGCTCCCTCTTTTCGTCGCGGTTGTAATTGCTTCTCCGGAACAAATGCCCTTTAAAGTCTTTACAATTTTGCTCACTTGGATCTAATTGGTGATGAAATAGACAATTTTCAATCATGTTTTAAATGCAGAAAGCTGGTTTTTTTTTGGGAGATTTAAGTAACTCAAAAAATTCGAAACGCTGCAGAATAAAGACTGTAATGCCTCAAATAAGTGGCAAAAGTAGGAGTCAAGAGCATGGAGCCCTCCTCCATTACTCAAAAACATTCGAAACAAGTTGAGTAAATGAAATCATAAGTAAGAGAGAAAGAAAACCACAGTTTTTCAAGACGTTCCATCAGATTTCATCCGAAAAATAGAGCAAATAGAGTAAAACTTCAAGAATTTTCTAGGGAGGCTAGGGGGAGGAGGAAGGGAAAGAGGCTACCCCCCCCCCCCCCCCCGGAAAGCGAACGCTAGAGCTTGCCCTATCTTTGAACCCACCGCACGCCACTGTTTAGTCAAAACAAATTGTATCCTAATGATGAGCAGGGCCGAAGATCCCCGCACACTCCTTGTGGGAAAGTGCACCACAATTGTTTCATTGCATTCAATCCCTCTTAAGATGCTGATCAAAAGTCATCAGTGCGTCAACTTCCTACAATGTACCGTTTTCGCACAACATGCCCGGAAATTTTCAATTATTACTCAGGCGATAAAGAGTCAGAAAGATTCCTCATTTCAGCACTTTTTGCTCGACCATCCAAATCAGTTTTGTGAGCATACGATCAGGAAAGTCGGAGAAAAACGGTGAACGTCAAAGGGGCGAGAGCAGGAGGGAGACAACCCCAGAACAGGCAGGAACGGACAAGAAGACTGACACGTACTCGTTTTTCCTTATTTACATCAGGCCTGTTCTCAAATGCCTCGTTCGTTTTGACTCTTTATAGCATAGCTGAATAATTGAAACTTTGCGGGCGTGTCATGCGAAAACGGTGCATCGTAGAAAGTTGGCGCAATGATGACTTTTAATCAGCATTTTGAAAGGAATTATATGCAATAACAAAATCTAAAATCGATCGAGGGGCATTTTCTCCTAAGGAGAGTGTGGGGTCCTGTCAGGCTGCCATGGGCCGCGGCCCATGTGCCCCCTCCCCTCTAAATCCAGCCCTGATGATGAGTTAAATATCTTGGAGAAAATACAGAAGATAGCAAGGGGAAAAATTGACGGTGTAAGTCTCCAACCATGTAGCTCATTTGCGGTGTTCGAAAATCTTCACCACAATTTTAATTTTTCCAAAGGAGAGCAAATCAGCGTCATTCCTTGAAATTTGCGCAATATTTTCTTGGCACAGAAGACTAATCACAGCAGTTTTGAAGCATTGTCGTTGAGTCTGGCTTGAGTAGTTTTCCAT